TGCTGAGATATTTGCAAAACTCCAGACCGCAGGTGCCTGCGGTGGGGAACGAACGTGCTGTTATCCTTTACGAGGAGTAACGCGTTCACCACCACACCATGCGGGTCCTTTGTTCCGCCTGTCTCTCAGCTAGTTCTATCGATCACTACCATCAGCAATCACCCCGCCGCAGACACCTGCTGTCCGGAGTTTTGCAAATGTCTCAGCATTGTAGAAGTCATATTTCGCAACGTACCCTGCCATTAAAACGAATAGGCAGTAATTAAAAAGGTTAAGACTAACTTATCTGTTTTGATATGTAAATATAAGAAACCACATGTGTGTAGATCAACTTTAAGTTGAGAGATAATCAGTAGTTTTGAGCCGGCCGCTTTTGCTGTTTTATTCCATTGTTTGTTGAATTCTAGGTGTCGAGTTTTAAATTCCTTCTCAGATGATGGGCGATGAAGGGAAATATCTTCAAGATGCTTTTTCGTCATCTAAACGTCTGACTGATAAAGAATTATTACAAACTGTCCACCCTTATCACTAACGGATAGGCTTGTGTTTTCGGCCTTATCATCTCCGTACTTACCGCATACCATACTTTCGCACTTCTATGAGGTTGGGGCGATATCGCTTCGCGTGGTAGTGATTAAAGGCATTGAAAGTTTCGTTCCTAAACATCCGAAATTTAAGGCCAACTTCATTATTGAGTTCTTGTTTTCCAAAAGACAGTTGAGGAATTGGTATGCGGGTAATGCCCCTACTTCTTGTTGCTCGCTCTTATTTAGCACTTCAGCTCCAGCCTTCTTGCTGACTCTATCTTGCCGTTCATGTAAACTACACGCAACTCTACGCAAGGTTGCCTTAGAAATTGGTTCAGGTGCTGAGAAACCTAGGCCCAGTTCTAACAACGAGCAAGCCTCTTCTAGGGAAGCCTTCTAGCACGGTTAGTTTTGAATTTGTTGGCACAATCTTAACTCGTTTATTTTCTGCCTTTTTCTTCTTAATGGCAGGGTATGTTTCGAATTATAACTCGTACGAAATGCTGAGATATTTACAAATCTCCGGACCACAAGTGTATGCAGTGAGGAACGAACACGCGCTGTTTGGGAACAGAAAGAAGAATCCCGGATATTGACACTGCCAGCAGTCATATGGCTGCGAAATTAAAGCTCTTTGTTTTCAGAGTAGAGGGAAATAAACTCAAGCTCCCAGACAACAACTCTAAAGATAATGAGGCTCCGTCTATCCTGCCCTTCATCTGATACGAAACAAGTGCACCAGTAAAATGTTGCTTAAGAGGCGCCAGTTCAGAGAATTCGGTAACAGTAATTGAGATACCACCCAACCCTCTAACATGTCACCTAGTTCGTAACCGCCTAAATCACCGTCTATGTGCAGCGCAATGCAACAAAAGTTGCATTAGGAAATGTTGCTTCGTTGCCTGCAAACTAGTCTGTACTCATTGCTGCAAAGCGGATTGTCTCGTGAAAAACATTTTATTACTAGCGGACAATCAATCAATCGAAAACCCTCCTATGTAAAAAAGTGTCGTCAGTGGAAGGCAATTTTTTTGAGTGGGACGCATCCTAGAAAATTCAACTCTATACGATTACGGTTACACCAGAATACGAACGGTTGAGAGATATCGACTCGCGGCTCTGAAGAAGGCGAAGGCATCGAAACGCTAACCGAATATACTGTTATACCACTCTCCTCTTAGCTTATCGTTGCATGAAATAGACATAGATCCTTTTTAGTTTGCAAAAGCTTTATTTTTATGCTTTTTGAGTACTTCATTTCGAATGGTTGCTCCGATCTGTATGCTCTGATATTTTTACTGCAGAAGATAGAGAGTTGTTAGCTTTTATTTGCTGCTCGCTACAGTTTTTCAATGCACGGTTTTATGTGAAATACAACCATAGTGTTACCAAGATATTTGCTCAACTCCAGACCGCAGGTGTCTGCGGTTGGAAACGAACGCGCTATTACTCTTTCCGAGGGCTAACGCGTTCACCATCTCGATAGACCCGCATACTGTGGTGGTGAACACATTACTCCCGGAAAGCACAATAACGCGCTCGTTCCCCACCGCAGATATCTGCGGTTTTGAGTTTTTCAGCAAATAGCACAGCGATATTCGATAAATTTATTCATATGTTCTTATGAACTGCTCTTGTTGAGCTGGTGAGAGGTTGGTGTAGTTTTTGTTGTTGTTGTTGTTTTTGTTAAACTTGTTGTTGTTGTTGGCCAATAGGTGATGTTTCGGCGATTTTGCCTTTTTCAGGGCCGTGCTGTTACTAGTGGTACAGTAAAATAGTGGCTTCTTCTCCTTTCCACTGAAAATGCAAGTTACATCATATCTCAGCTGAGAGTATTGCTAGTGACCATGATCAAGATGCAGCTAGATCTACTTGCTTCAGCCTAGTTACAACTTGCATTTGAATGACAGCTCATGTTATACGCGGATGTTCTAGGTCTTTTCAGATATTTGTCGCACTTACTGCCTGGGAGATATGTTGAAGACTTGTTTTTGGAAGAAGTAACTCATATGCAACAGCCTGCACAGAAATAACTCGTACTGCGCTCTGATCCTCCTTATTTTCCCACTCGTCCAGGAGAATTAGAGCTTACATGATGTTCTCATCATTCACACTTAGTTGGTTCGGTATTAGCGTTACAGAAGCTTTTCGATTAACTGGATCCTCGCCTACTCATCAAGGAACTTACTACCTTTCTTTGCTTGCAACAACCTGGCATAAAGGTAGTTAAATTTGTTTTGTTAGAACAACTTCTGTTAATTTCCTTTTTTTTCTCGAAAAGCGGAATTTCATAGCAAGAACGGACTTTGCACTAGTTACTAATAGGGCGGTTCCCATCCTCCTTTTCAAACCAACTCCAACTTCGCCGGCGTTTCCTCTTCTGCCTTTCGTTGAGGATCGCTTTCTCCACCTAGTATCGTTTTATTTCATACTAACTCTCACCACTTCTTCATTCAATCACTCTTTTGGATTCATCATCGTACTTCTGCATTATATTTCAGGTCCAGCTGTTTCTTGGACTTTTTCGGTCCTTTTATGAACTTCACTAAATTCTGATCGATTCGAATCTCATTAGAATCCTGGGATAGCTGTGGCCTCCCAGGTCTTCATCACAGCCAGCAACAATCCTGTGTACATCAGAGGAAACTTCGAAAACAAGTTTGTTAGCAAATTCGTGATTTGGAGAGGGATTGGACCAACAGTTTGCGAAGAAACAGCGTTTGATCCGTTGTGTATTACAGGACAGCCTTAGCTACTGTGCTTCACATACCTCTACAACTGAGAACAATCAGCGGAAAATGAGTTTATGAAACTTATGCTATACGTATGGACTAAACCACAGTTGCTGAAACAAAGGTACATTAACGTTCTCGAGGTTCGACCTTATTCGAAACCTATTTATGTTGTTACTGCCTGTAACACTATCATGTTTCATACGAACACCACCAATTATGGAATATGCCATGGTTGCATGAAAGCATTCGATCAGATTGATAACTGCCCTCAGATTTTATGTTTATCAGCACTCTTTTCACAACTCTCTCTCCAGATGTCGTTAAGGTCGTCTTATTTCAATACGAGGCCGTTAACGATCCGGTTGACTCCTCAATGATGACGATCTTCACTGCTACGTCGAGCATTGCGTGTAAGCATGCATGTCTTTAATTTAATGAATTCTTTACTGAGCATTGAAATATAGTTCCAATTAGACGTGTCTTGAGAGGAAATCTTTGAAATAGGATTGCGATGCGAAGCGATCTTCAGACACCCATGCTGTTTTGCCTTCTTCGGGAGCGACCGAAAACATTATCAGAGACGAAGAATCTTATTGAATAGACTTAGCCACAGGATAGAATATTCCTAAACAATATACTTTTATTGCTTTTAATTTTTGTTGCTAGACATCGGAATTCTACAGAGGATAGTATTCTACATAAAGCGAATATAGGTGGATTCTGATTTTTGGCGAGCTTTTGAGATGTCACCCATGGGATCAACGAAAAATATAATCGCTTAATTCAACACGTTCCCAATAGCGCTAGGAGAGTGGAAAGTTTGAAAGACATTGAGATAGCTCTTTTTGTGCAAATTTTTGTTCTGATAGGTCACAAGGGAACTACGCAAGCTACAACACCTACAGCAGTAATGTTCAAGTGCCAGTCACCGGGCAAAAGTCACCAGAAGGCGGAAAATAAAAACTTCGAAAGGAGAAAGGCTCTAATGCTCAAGTTGGAGCTATAGAGAGAAAGGAGGACATCTATATTACACGTGCGGATTTTCGTAGTTACAAAACCGAAGTCATCGCTTCGTGATGTCTTCAGCGACTAATCACTTCATAACTAGATGTGGATCATCTATTTCTTTTCCTTCGCCAGCTTCAACAGCTGCATCGACAAGAGAGCAGTTGGACGAAGGATAGCCACACTAAGAGTGGATTTTACTAGCAAATCCAATAAAGTTTGTCGCCAATTAGGTCTCTTGGAGAAGTATAAATCCATTGTGGTGTAGTTATAGGTTTTTTGGCCGTTGGATATATAAACCTATGAATTAGAATTAGTTTGTAGTCTTGTATTCATCACTTGAAAAGCCTAGAAATTTCAGATCTGTTCTTTTATATCGGTTTAGTCAGTGCAGTTGTCTTTTCCTGTGGCACAGATAAGAATAGAGAAAAAGTTCACGTGGCAAAACGGCAGGTAATACAAAATTTCGTTAGGACAGAAATAACTAAAAGGCTTCATATGGATCGAAAATTGGTGCTTATCGCACTCTTGTTGACTAGAGATAGACCAGAGTTGAAGTGACCTTATCTGTTAGAAGTTACATTCAAAGGTTTTTACGCGATCAGAACCTTAGTATTAGCTTCAATAATGTATGAGGTAGATTAAAGGGCCGCGTTTAGCGCAGAGTTTAGGGCGTGCTTTTGGACACACGCATGGTCGTTGGTTAGCTCTTACGTATGAGCAAGCGAAGAGTATGAATAAGATGTTTGATCTGCAGGAGCTCAAACGTCGACAACGTGAGGCGGTGCTTGCTGGTCGACCCGTTCATAGTGTAATCGAAGAAGTCGAACTGCTTATGTTTCAGTCGAGCTCAAGGTGAACATTGTTAATATTGCAGAAGAAAAAAGCCTGACTAGATCTTCCAGCCCTCAACATCTGCAATGATCTTTACAACCTTAGCTCATTGCCAAATCAAAATGTTCAGGCTTTCCTGCGTTCGTGAATTACCGGATTTAGAAGCACTGGAAAAGTACCGTATACTAAATGAAAACGTCAACAAAGCAGCACCAGGCAAAATTGAGACGTTAGCATTTATTGAGGGCACTCAAAGAAGTATGTTCGTCTTCCACTGTTCTCACTATCTCTACCTCATTCAGTACTGCTGGTTAGTGATAGTCATGCTCGCTATCGGAACTTTTTGAACTATAAAATAAGGTTTGTAGACTAGTGATATTATTTTATCCAAGTAGGGAACGTGAACGATAAAGTATTTGGCAAGCTTAGCCGGAGTGATAGCAAAACATCGTATCAGATTCGTAATAGCTTTCAGACCAATCTGCTTCAAATACGACATAATAATGCAAAGTCTTTTCTAAGTACATTTATTTCTATCGAGTGTTGGTAGTGAAACATGTGTGGCAAATGCCATGGCTAGCTGTTAGCATCGATTGAACTGATAACGTAATCAGGGAAATACCCAGTTCAAACCAGATGCTACCAGAACTGAGAGCGATGACGCTAACTAGCAACCATGAGGTGTAGAAACAAACAGCAAATAAACACAAACAGTTCTTTTTTTACTCAGCAAGAATGTGAAATTAGTAGATTGATGCTGAGGTTGATAGGAAGTCGGTCGTGGGTTTTACCACAAGACATGTTGGATTGTGATTATAACGAGGCCTCAGCTTAACTGGGTTCAATGCCGATATTGGCTCCCCAGATCAATCCCGTTGACGGGTGATTGCTGACGGCAAAAAGATCGATAGAACTAGCTGAAATACATGCAAAGCCAAGGACCCGGATGGTGTAGTGGTGAAGTGCGCTGCTCCCCGGTAAGGACAACAGCGCGTGTTCGTTCCCCACTGCATACACCTGTGGTCCGGACTTTTGCAAATATCTCAGCACTTCATACGAGTTATATTTCACAACATACCCTGCCATTAAGAAGAAAAAGGCAGTAAATAAAAGAGTTAAGATTATATCAACACAGTTCTTAAGAATTCGATGCTGAGCTGTCCGTCACATTCATCAGTGGACATGCTGCTTTCAGAACATGCAATGGACATGAAGGAACTGAGTCATTTAGTTGAAACAGTAACTGAATCGACGACGTCGACAAGACATCCAGGTATTCTGCAATCGTGAACGCCAAGGATAATAATCCATTACAAATTCGTGTCGTTGTTTGTTCAGGGTTAGATGATCCCTGCACTACACTCCTGATGGAGGATTGTAGTCCTTGCAATGTGCATCCTGTATAGATTATTTTATTCATTATCATTTTCTAACATCCTTGTGTTTTACTAGATTCTCCACCACTCTTTAAAAAAAATAAAGTGAGGGACAATTCGCAATAAATAATATTTACAACAGTAACGCCATATTGCCGTCCTGTAAAGTCATGACACTTTCAACGTGGATTAAAAAATCGCGATTCGTTGGAGCAAACTGTTGCGCTACTATCACTCCGTGCTCCTGTCGTTCAGGAATATCTTTGAACCTGCATCTGAGTTCGGCTGCTACTGGAGTGGGAGATTTTTTCTTCGTCATGAATGTTGCCGAATTCTGGTCGAGCTGACATTTCCCGGATCTTGAGTTGTTGGGAAGAAATATTTGCCTGAGGTGCAGAGTAAACGGCGACTTCACGTGTATTTTCGCATGTCGTCTCTAACCACTGCTCCTCCAGCACGTGTTACTATTAAAGAAAAAGCTGAAGAAAATTAGCTGTATTTCAAAAGTCGATCAGTCTGCATACATGCCAACACCAACAACTTTATTTACAATTCATAAGATGAAGCATAAACGAACAATCAGCGTGCAATGCAATGTTTGCTTTGATTGGCATCCTCGCATCCGCCATCAGTGAAGATCGGAATTCGTGTGCATTCGGCAGCTGCTTTTTGACCTTCTTCACGGATTCCAGTGAAACTGTAGTGGCTCGTTCGTGCGGCCGATGCTTCTGTTCTCTTTTCACTTACCAAGCAAAACCTTTACTGACGTCGCATTTCGGACCTAGAAAAGAGCTGATAAAAATTATAAACAATGTGAACCTAGAAATAGCAACGCACCGTGACCAAAAAATGTTATAACAACAATATAACGATATCATTGAAGAAGATTCACATAGGAATAAAGAACAGCTTTAATGGACCAGTGTATAGGAACAAGTATTACTGTCGCACGTAAAGATGCCCATCTGTGAATGGAGGCTGCAATTGAATTCAGCCTTATGAAACTAGAAGAAGGTGAAGACAGTAAGAACAGTTTCTAAGTGAATGGAAGGGTAACTAATGGCGTTGCTTATAATTGGAGCAGACGTAGACGGTAACAAAGCTGATAAGGTATGCCATTTTATCATGATCGGCGAATAGAGAGAGCTGTGGATCCTGAGCGAGATTGGAAGGTGATTACATAGCATACTAGTTAGCTATAGTATACATGAAACAGCGTGAAAATATTCCCAAGACGGACTTTCTGCTAACCTGGCACTGCTGGATAATTCGATGTTTTTCTTCAACCTCGTGTCTGCTTATTGAAGAAAAACATCTAGTGAGAATAATATGACACATTTGTGATAATATGAGAAAACAGTGCATTCCCGTTAATATGAGAAGATACCGTGAATTCTTTGCAAAGTAAAGAAGTAAAGTATAGCCTCTACATTCCTCACCTGCCGAAATCTTGAAGGTGAATGCTGTGCGAAACAATGTGTTAAAACTGAACGGAGACCATGAATGCTGTTCGAGTAGATTCTCCATGGAATCCAAAGGTAGTCGTGCATGAGCGTCCTCATTTTTCTACCGCAGGTAGTCACCAGCTTCTGTGGGTCCGAATAAGCATCGCAGACTAGTTTCTTACGAGTTTCACTACGCCAGAGTTATAGTACGCTTGGTTTACTTCGGGTGAGCTTGAACCAGCTGCCCATTATTGAACAGCGTCCTCAGAAATGACACATGCGGTCTTGTTCAATTACGCAGCTTGCAAGTGAACTGCTAGTGCTGGAACACGAGACATTTGGATGCGGATTTGCTGTTTCACTTTTTCTGTGAAGCAAATACTTTTAATGGAACAAAATATTCCTGGGATTAGAACAAATAAAAGTCCGATAACATCCTCGTGCAGGCTGAACAATCTAAAGGATTATATTAATTATTCACGCAGACGTTAAGAGAAAACTGGATCGATAAAGTATTCTCTGTATTTATTTTTGCTATTTGATGTTATCCGATAAGTTTTAACACATCATCGTTGTAAAGAGGCACTCCTGGAAGTCGAACCGTAATGCAAGAGTTTCGCCCCCAGGCAAGGTCTCCCATTTGAGGGACTTCCTAATTTTTCGTTAACTATACAAGAGCTTTACAGCCAGAATATCACCATCGCGTAAAGATATTGACACTGACGTAAAAATAGGAATTCGACAAGACCATATCGTTGCAAAAAGTATTAACAACCATGTTTGAAAAAGATACGTGATACACCCACGAAGACGTTGAGATATGAGACTCGTATTGTGTGATTGCCGATAGCACCGTTAGGGCAAAAAATTGGCTCGAAGAAAGGGAAATAAAGGACCTTGTTCGGTGTTGTGGATAACACATGAGCTCCTTGGAAGGATAATTGCCAGTTTGAAACGCGACTGAAGCTTCGAGTTTAGCTCATATCACAGGTCCTCGTTGTTGCATTCCACACAACATCCTGCCATGAACAAAAAGTAGGCAGTCAATAAAAGTTAAAGCATTGTTATGCGATAGTTGGAAAGGAAAAGCATGGAAGTGAAAATCGATCATCAGTAATTACTCACCACTATGCTAATGACATCGTTCTAATAACAGTAAGCATTAGTTAAGCGTAACGAATGCCTGCCGACGTTGTTTTTTGTGGAAGGATTCGTTTCCGACTATATCTCACAAAAATATTATTCATTGGGAACGGACTGATTACGTATGCCCCACTCACGCTCGACAGAATGAACGACTCCGAATGCTCCAGCTACGTCTATCTAGGTCGCGAAATCAACATGATGAGCGGCCAGCTCCAGGGTTAAGCAAGAGGAAACGATTAGCTTTGAGAGCTTTCAAGAGCATCCAGGACGTAGAGAAGAAAGCAAGGAACGCCCGGCTCTGTCCTCACCTTCTCGACTTAACGGTACTTTCTGATTTAACGTATGCGTCCCTAAGATGGTCGCTACGTAAGCAGAATTAACGAGCACTCAGCGCGTTATTGAACACGCATTCGAACGGACGTTGCAAGGAGTATCCCGTGTCACAGAAATGAGCGAAGTGATCCGAAGCTTCGAGTTCCGTCAACAATCAAAGACCACGGATTCCACGTCTAAATGTCAACAATCAGATGGGCCGAACACGTAATGTATTCGAACGACAACGAAATCTACAGGAGATATCAAAAGCGCAGCAGGGAAACCACTGTGCTGATAATCTGGGTTCTTCATGAAGACATTAGAAGCAAGACATGATGCTCAGCGAGTCCCTAGAGCGAACAGAGCCCGACGGGCAGAAATGGAAGGCATCCTGGCGATCACTCGAGTCGTTCAACCATCAACGGGAGTTTGGACGATACAGGAGAGCTGATAACATGCCATAAAGAAAGGAATGGACGAAAATAAAATTTAAGACGCTGGATAGTCTTTTTTCGATTTCACACCATGGAAGAAAGCGGTAGTGAATCCATGTTCATTAGTTAGGGCTGACGACGAGACATTCAGTTCGCACACGTCCTCGCGTCATTGCTTTGGACCAGTTGCTTCCCAACTACTCGCACCAATCTTTTCTTCTGTTCACTTTTCTTTTTTTTTCTGTGTCACTTGTAGTCTCCCTCAAGAAGCCCGCATCTTGCGTTTATTACCACCTGTGTTGTGCAGGTTATTATTGGATTTCGCTTCAGTTTTCTTCTCTCCTTGACCAACTATTTGGAAAAAGCAGTGGAAATGTGGCCTCAACATATTGACTGAGGCGAAGTGTATTCGACATCCTTTGATAAAGTAGCTCATGGTCATTAGTCGATTTCGCTCAATGAATCTTCTCGCCATAATTGATATATGGTTCAGGGCTTTACGAGAGAATCGTTTAAGTAGAACTCTTGATGCAATCTGTGCGTACGTGTTCGGCGTGGCCACGGCTTGTTACGGTGAACTTCAACCATTTCAGGACACCCTCATCAATGATCATCTCGGTCACTATGAGTCACATTTAATTCATAGGCAGTGTGTGAGAAAAGGGGAGGACTACAATGCTGAATGCTCTTATCGAAAAACCTGCACGGTCGCTGATACTCGGATCTGTGTTATGTAAGCTATGTGATTGGTGCGAAAGCGTAGTAGAAAAGTTTACAAGGCACTATAAACTACATGAGCAAGTATGCATTGGACACAATGCGCATTATTCACTTGCCTCTCCGTTCTGCGCTGCGAAACCTATGTACCTTATCTCTTATGTAATTGGACCAGTTGTCCGTGTAACCCGTTTGCCGCTAAATCCTGGGCCTCTGTAGCGCGCCTATTTTCAGAATTCGTCTCTCAAATGCCATAAGTTCTGTGATGCTATAGATTTTTCATGTTGTCTTGCTGCTCCGGAGGTGATTACTTTTATTTAAGCGCTAAATTGCCACTAAGTACGTTCCGTTGTTTAAACTGCGTCCGTTTTCGTAAGACGGAAAAGTTCATGAGCAGAAGGCATGAAACGATTAAAGCTACGAGATGCAAATTGTCTTTTTTCTAGTGTGTCTCGTTCTACGTGAATTACTCATTGATTACTGGTCTTTTGTACACCAAGAAGATGTCGTCGGAATCGCCAGTCACGCGCTCAACAACTACAGTCGATCCTCCTTCTAGCTCGACTCCGGTTCGAAGTTGGTTTTAGATTTCATCTTCATGTTCTTGATCTCAATATGTTGTTTCTGTTTTTGTGCCTGCGTTCTTACGAAATACAACCGCAAGGATCTTGTGATATGGACAAAACTCGGAACCTCAGTTAGCCTTCGAACTAGCGATTACCCTTATCGGGGCTCACTTTCTACCCAGCACGCCAGCCGAGGCACTTACTGTGACTTTCTCTTTATGTATATTCCATTTAATTAATTTCAACTCAGGGAAACATTGTATTCAGAGGCCAACATCGAAACAGTCTGGATGTTGACTCATAAGTTGCTGTGTTCTTACGTACTGTTCCTAGTGAGGTGACCGCTTGTCAATCCATGTGAACTCGAATGGTTTCACTTCCAAGGAAGTGAAAAGGAAAAAAAAATGCCCATTAGGAATATGAAGTTCGCCAAAGTGTTCGCCTTTGTGAACAGAATTTTCGCGCGAACTTAGTGTCACCACTAATCATAAACAATGTCTAGAACGACGGTAAATACCTCGATTACTGCGAATTGTTCAGATCCTTCACCAGGCGTGGGCCAGGGAAGGAAGTTGTTTACTTCTCTTTGCTGCTGCGTGTTTTGTGAGTTTCCTGAAATGTTTAGACTTGAGCTGTTTCTGCACTGACAGTTTTTGCGAGTTCTCCATTTTTGTTGGAGTCAGCACAATAGATATAATATGTGTTTCTAATTAAATATTACGAACCGAATTATTTCCAATCTTTTTTCCACAGAGGTTGTGAGTGCCCTGCAGAATTCGTTCTTGCTTCGCTGTCTACCCAATATTATATTCGTAGGCACGTCGACCATTTGTATGCGACGAAATGTTCGATGGGATTGTTAACTTCTTGAAGAGAAAGGAATATCCACATTTTGTTGCTAGCGCGTCTGACGTACCGGCTGCCATGGAATCATTCAGGTGAGAAGAGTTTATTTAAAATACACGAAACAATGAGAAACTGTCTACGTGAACATCGAATTTCTCCAAACTAAACAGTAATGTATTCAGTTTAAATTGAGGGGTGTGATGATTCGGAATGCTTTCATCCCTACAGCTTTATGCTATTTACTTTGTGCTCTTTGTCATCTCATCATTAGTCTTCTTGTTGACTTCGAGAGCTGTTTTTTCTCCCATTTCTGCAACCGATTAATGTAGGGAACAACGGTGGAGAGACCATTCGTTGAACTTCCCTGTTGAGAAACTAAAACGGACATTTGAAGTTGTTTAGGAACAGATAGATACTGAAATAGAGTGATCCTAGTAATAGGCTCAGTTCTTCCAAAGCGTTTCATCTTTCATTTCAGAAGGAAGTGCAAAGTCTTCTTCCTCGGTAAGGATGGCCAATTGTTGCACGGTGGATCGAGTGAAGTCCATCGTCATGTGATACGTAATGTCGAACTCAAATCAGTTGTTAGGTTCGTCCACCTGTCATTAGGGCACTGTAGTGCTGGAGTGTGGTGAGTGTTTCGTCTTGTTCTAAAACTGTTTTAATTTCAACGTTTGCCGATCGCATGAATATGTGTTGTACTATGCACATAAAAACAGCTCAATCCAAGGACACTGTAAATATGGCCGTCTTAAGCGGAAATTTTGAGGTGTTGCAACTCGGCTCTAAAACTACTTTGTTAATAAAACTAAGGACCGTTAGGATTTCCATAGTTTTGCAGAGTTTCTGTACCGTAGAGGCCTTGAGTTCTGGGAAGCGCTTCGTAGACGTTTCTTCTAGCGACATGGTTGTTGAGGATTTTTGCAACTAATAAATACCAAGATGCCGCAGAAGTGGTGGCTGACTGGCGTGTGGTTCGACGACAGCGGCAGTGTTGGTTGCGAAATCTGCAGTTGGCTGTTGTCGCGCAATAAGACTGGACCTCTTCCGTTGACAAATCACCAATGAGCACGCTGTGGTTTTCTCCACTTCAACGTGACAGCGCTTCTTTCTTTTCGTTGTTTCCCCATGTCACAAGCGAATATAATGGAATAATGTGACCGTATATCATCAACCTGTGACCATTCGCCATAATGTTCTTTTGGTGCAAGTAGCTTAAGAAAATGCTTAGAAATTTCTCGGTGAAGATATGCTGGTTAGTGTTGTCGGTTTCACTATAGAATCCACTTTTCATTGAACACCACTATTTGATCCTTTTCGTTGCTCAAAAGAAGCACATTTCACAGTGACGATTTACTCTTCGTTCAATCAGTGTTTGACTCACGATCGGAGCTCTTCTAGCTTTCCATCATGCAGTAGGTAGAAAACGACTGGTAATCGATGGTCTTCTAGCTCACTTCCAATGAGTAAGTTATCCGTTCTCGACAATGGAGTTATTGTGGTATTTTCATCGAGAACAACTGCGTTCAGTTTTCGGAGCAAGTGTCCGAGTTTCCTTCTTTTGCTTTTATTCATCACGCTTCTGTGTCGTAATCTGCTATTAAAACTTGAATTTCTCTTTCGAAATATCCTCGATGCGACAGTGAAGTTATTGTCTCATATTCGCAGTCTCTTCCCTCACTGAGCGTAGCCTTCACCAAGCACGGCTCGATCTAGCGTTCTTATCTGTTGGCCATCGACATAACCGATAACTTTTACAATTCCCATGTACTGATCCGCATTTACTGACTGTTGTCCATATCTTTACTGAGGTCTTTACCTTACCTGTCTTCTTAGTTCACAGATGTTGTGGTCCACTTTGAAATATTCCAGTTTTCAGGGTGTTTTAATGTGTATGGTACAGAAATTCAGGTATTCAGGTATACGTTGTCACTGTTTTTGCTTGTAGTTGTTTCCGTTCCTCGTGTTTGATGTAGTTTTTATATTCGCTCAAGTGAGATTTGTTATGTCTCCTAGGAATGCTTTTATTTTGCTTTTTTCCCTTGGTTTTTCCCTCTGTTTGACTCGAATCCCTGGTTTGATCTCTGCTTCATTGTCTAGGAACTAGTCAAATTATATGTGTATTTGTTATTTTGCATTAATTTTTCCAACGATTAGGACGTTTTTTTAAAGGATTTTAAGGACCGGTTGTTTGTATGATGTTGTTTCGAAGATGATGCTGCCACTAGTTGTTGAACATTCGAATGTAGTGATTGCACACTTCTTCTCGCTTCGTCTGACTCCATCGAAGGGAATTTATGTTCTTAAATAGTCGCGAATTCGTTGTGTTAATAAAAATACGACCTATGTCCCTATTTCTCTGTCGAAGGCTTTTCAGTGCCTTGTGATTGTTCTTTTCTAATGTGTTCGCCAGATTACTGTCATTGGAGTTCAGTTACAGTTCGCAGTTAAGGGCCCCTTGGATCCGGGAACGTGGAGATGAACATGGATTCATGACAGTGTATGTTGAGCTTCATCTTCCTCGCTTCGCTTTCTTCGTTCATAACGGTCTCTATCTATACCTTCGAAAGAAGTAGTTTGAACACTTGAAGAACTCTGTTGTACAACAACTATATTTGAAAACCTCGTCTGTGGTCTGTATTTCTGTTTTTCTCGATGCACTATTTCACGAAAACATGTTGTAAGGGAATATCTTTATTCATTAACTCTCGCACAGTGTCTTTGCCTTGAAATTGCTGGCTGATGATGGCTTTTCAAGATCCCACATGGGTTCTACCCATTCTGTTCCACTGAATCTATATCGATCCAGCTTGACTGAGTCATGATCGAAAATCGGTTGGACGCCAGTGGTCGCTATAGTTCCAGGTATTTAGATAGCTATGCTTCATGTTGTGTTATTTCTCAGTATAAGTGCCAAGGACTAGATTACAACTGAATCGTCAAGATATCCAGTAAATGCGAAGAGAGTGCATATACTTGCGAATGTTTCCATTTCTCTCGTTTTTATGAACTTAAGAGGGATAGAGCTAAAGTCCATTATCTATAGCTACCACACTGGAATGCTTTCTCGTGTTTTTTTTGTAACGTTCCTAGTTTCACAGGAAGGAAAAGTAGAGAGGCCACTATGAAAATAATGACAGTGATTCTCTGAGCTGTCCCTGAGATACACTGGAAGATTGAGGTGAAAGAGACCGCGAGTTATTGTCACGTCGTTCTTTCTAAATTCAAATTTCTGAGTTGAACAACTGTTGATAGATATAAAATTCTGACTTGTATTGTTTTTCCTTTGTTTACTGGGTTCATGTTACATTAAGTTTCACTAGTACAGTAGAGAGTTGTAATTTCTTTCGTTTTGTACCTTAGAGAATATTAGCTCTTATAGTTTGACAGCTTTATGCATCGGCTGCCCTGAGGTGAGAGTAAAGTAGAGAAGCAATTGGCCATTTAATATTCATTACACAATGTATGGATTTCCACATAAACGGTAGAAAAGGACAAAATCCTCGGCACTGATCAATCCTTGAAGGATGCACCATGCGTTTGACTTCATTAAGCATCGTTTGCAAGTCACTGAATGCATATCTGGTCTTCATAATGACTGGCGGTGGCTTACCGATGTATCCGGCTAGTGATACTATCCTCCCAGGCAGTTTTAGAACCAATTTTCCTACCCCTGAGTGATGGAAGGCTTGGTGTACCGTTGGCTCTGGGACCGATTCCACGTTTGCGCCTCCAATCATCGTGCCACATGCGCCGCTGCTTCCTACATGGTACCCATTAATTTCTTTTATGCGGTAGTATTATGCTAAATACATTCCCAATTCTGAGATATTATTACGAAAGTCAGATCCCGGGTCAGACTCATACCCGCGATCACCTATCCGTGGAGCTTACGTGTTACCCACTGTACCACTTAAGGCTTCGCTATTCGTAATATCTACATTATCTTGTATTCAATTGAACTGACTGTTCCACCACTGAAAGCTACAAAATAGTGAGTGACACAGTGGTCACTGCTTTATTCGTGCCTTGGCGACTGCCACNACAATACATTGTTAGACTACTCACCGCGACTTCATCTTCAACGCATTCGTTTCCTTAACCCAGTTAATTTCTCTCGGACTTCTATACAGGGGTCGTCTGTGGTTGCAGGTTGCCTTCCAAATCTAGGGCTTCTTCACTATCATTGATCGATGCTAAATCCTCTTCCATGTTCTAATACGTAGCCCTCGACCTGAGAGCGATAAGACGAAAAGTCTTCGATAGCTACGTCCTATTTTCAGTCCCGTAAGTGAATTTCATTCGTTTCTTCCGTGTGCTTTTGCTGCTATGTGAGTCCCACTTGCTTCAGAAACACGAAGAGCACTTCACTTTCAGCAAAATGCCCATTGTCTTCCTTCTAAGAATCGCTTCTTGTGGATCAAACTTCCTCAGCGAGGGACAGCTCAGCTGCAATGAGGTTGCAGCGAATTGTGACATGCATCTCGTATGAATGAAAGTTTGACTTTCTGTCTTTGTGCGAGATAAAATTAGAAAAGGCGGCAATGAAACTTTTGGTGGTAGTGTCAACGTGATCTTTGGCATCATCGCTGATATTTATCAATGAATCTTACTTACTTACTTAGATACTTGGACGACCCATCCTCGCTGGTTGTGCCGCACCCAGCATACTCTCCATTCTTCGATGTTTTCCTGGTTTAGCCATTGTTTCCCTGGATTCCCGATGTAATCCTGGCCAAAGTCTACCCCATGTCGTCACTATGACAGGAGGCTGTGGATCAGGGGGAGATTTGCTACCATGCGACTAGTTTGATACCAGGGCGGTGGTGGATTCTGAAATTTGTTAACTCTTAGTTGGGATTCCTCATGGAATCACCAAACTCCTTCTCAGCTTGGGAGCTTAGGAGACCCTACCGGAGGAGGTGAGTGTGCTCTCTGTCCGTTGCACATCGCAGCCTTACACCTAGGAACACCTCTTAGCCACGATGAGGCGGTAAATCGTTGGGTGATATAAATGGATCAGTGCTGCTGAAAATTATATTGTAATCGAAGTTTCATGGACTGTAGGAAGAAATTGCAGAGAATGGAAGTTCTAAGCACTCGCTGAAGGCTTAACGAGGTCACTTCTAGATNGTCGCGATCTCATTATTCATTATTTGATTACGGTTTTCAAGCTAGTAGGTGTCCACCCACAGATTGACATTCCTCGTTAGATATTTGGGCGACTCCAGTAGACGACTTGCTAGCTCGCAGTTTGTGCTCTTGTCAGTGTCGTTGGATTTATGTTTTCTTTCTTCATTTGCGCTCTACATTGTTAAAGTAGTCCAGTCCGACTCTGCCAGAGTGTCTGAGTGTTTTAGCTTGGATAATGAAGATTATTTTACCACTAGCACCTTTCAGTGTTCGAGGTCGTTAGTGATGATGAGAACCTATGGAGGGAAAACCGTACCAGACCATTATAGCGATTGGATCTTAGTTTAGTAACTTGACGAATGGAAAGATACATCAACCAGTTTCTTGCTTTTAATGGTTTTAGGCGAGTGTAAACCCAATCGTTCCTCCCCACTGTTAACGCGCTCCAATGCATCG